CAGCCCCGCGCTGCCCCCCCCCCCCCCCCCCAGCCTGTGACTAGACAGTTGAATATGCAGCAGGAGACGGAGGAGTTTATCTCTCTGTCATTCTGCTTTCTCTTTCTACTAGCACTCCCTTTCACTACAGCACAGCTAATTGTCTTTGTGTGCTGCTTATTCCTTCTCCAGTCTGAGCTCTGCTCTACAGGGACTGCAAGAGGCTGACACCAGATCAAATTTAGGCACTTACACTGCTTGCATTATAATAATAGATATTTGGGGAGGTATCAGTGAATATAAATCTTCATTATGATGTAGTATTTATATCTTAAAATGTTGAGATATGGTAAATGCATAGACAGTCCTAAAAGTGCCATACCTCAAGCCCTCACGGGCAGGGCCCTCCTTACCATCTTGTCTTGAATTGTATTGTGATTGTAATGTCTTCCTTATATTGTAAAGCAATGCACAAACTGTTGGCGCTATATAAATCCTGTATAATAATAATAATTATTATATAACTGAATTTTCCTAGTATTTATATCTGCCTGGAGTTCAGCTTTAGCTGAACCAATATAATATAATCAATATGATCTAATCAAATGAAGTTACATATTAAAAGAAAACAGTTAAGAAAATAAACCAGTTTACTGCAGTTAAGTATTATGGACAACTAAGGAGGCCCACCTCCTATACTGAGCTCAGCATCGAGCATGACCTTCATGCAGGTACTACACCCTCTAGTAATTCTGGCATGAGATTGAAGAGGATTTGGACTAAACCAGAAGTCAGGCCGTTGGCGATCTCGAGGAGTTGGAGTTTTCAACAGAACACCGGGTCCCCTCCTCTCTCCTGACACTGTCGGGCTCTCGGTCCATGACCAAGTGCCTGACTTTTTAGAGGGGGTGACATCAAAATAACTGTCTGTCATTTTGGTGTCACCCCTCCAATGATGTCTATCGAGCAGAGTGAACCTTTCTGGGAGAAAGTGTTTCTCTCCCGGGGCGGCCGGGAGTCGTATTAGACTCCCAGAGCGTTCGGGAGAGTAATGACAGATGGCGATCCTGGTTACTAGGTAACCAGGAACGCCATCTGTCATTACACACCGAGAACACGGAGAGCCCACTCTCAATGTGTAATGACAGCGTCCCTGGTTAGCTGGTAACCATTGACGCTGATCTCCCTGAAAGTGGCTGGAGCCAGCCGTAAGATGGCGGCTGGCTCGGCCCAGCTGTCAGAAGCAGGCTGTCGGCCGGCCATTCGGCCAGCTTCGGCTTTCACCGTGGCTCAGCCAAGCCGAGGCATATGCCTTCGGCTCGACTGAGCCGCTCTGCCAACTTCGGGAGCTGTATGGGCTATAGTGAATAGCCCGTACAGCAGCCCTGGGGTCCTGGGGCCAAAGCTAGCTGAACGATCAGCCGAAGCTACGGCTAGATCCTTCGGCAGCTTAGTGAATAGACCCCATAGATATTGTTGCTTTGCCCCACTCAATCCAAAACAGAAAAAAAAGTTTTGGTTTGAATTAGGAATTAATAACATTTTAAACTAACAAAACCATTTTGTTGTGCAAAGAAAGTCAATAAGTTCAGTTATATTGTGTTGGGTCCCCAAAGACTATGGGGTCTATTCACAAAGCTGCCGAAGGATCTGGCCGTGGCCAGCAAAAGAGACAGAAAAATTATATTTTGAAGGTGCATTCTTTGACCTGTGTTTTCCCTATAAAACATGACGTGTAGTTACATCATTTTGGTTTAACAAACGAGACACAAAAACATATCTGTATCGGCACAGTTGAGACACACCAATGAATTCTTTGCTCTGTAACACATTAGGGTTTGTGGAGTAGACATCTGGTATTAGGCTGAAATTCAGGAATAAGAACGAAGAAACAAAGAGATTTCCTAGCAGAAGGAAACATTTAACAGGGAGGCTTTTCTTTGCAATAGATACAGTTATTTTTAGAATTAGAAAAGATCAAAGCATGGCTTACATTCCCATTTATAACAATGTGCTGAGACTTTTTATTAACATGGACATCCTGGCAATACGTGATCATGTGCTGCAACATGACCCCCCTTCTTGATAGTCTTACAACAGCAGACATCCCATGATTTTTTCCTTAAATACAGTGGGCAAGCATTCCCATTGATTCAGTGCCCTTCCTGAAACATGCAGCTTTGTTTCTTGATGATGTGGTTCCAGAATAAAAAATTCAATACGTTCTAGTTGATGACTTAAAAAAAACATGAAAATGACAATCGATGAGGATCTCTGTTTCTGCAAAGATGTACCTAACTCCGTCCCAAATTTCAGTGTACAAAAGGCACTTTGAATTTTGTCAAGCTTCTCCTATTGCTGAAACATAGGGCAGTCCTGACAAATTATAAATGGGGTATCAATATGATTTTTAGTGCTTTTAAATATGAATCACATTAGGAGGTTTCATCAAAGATCTCATCAGTCAACTCTCATACTAAGTTATTTTAGGTAAGTAGAATACCTATGCTTTTCAGAAAGGTATTTTCCTCTGCTATGTTATATTATTTTGTACACTTTAGGGTTCATCTGTATATTAAGTGAACACTCAAGTATTTACTTATCCTTAACAAGCATCTTTAAAACAAGCCCTCACTGACCTCTGTAGCTGCAGTCACTGTGGAAAAATAATTATTCGTGTTTGCATACTAACGCATTGAAATTGTTTAAAGCAGAACTCCTCCTCAAAAATACCAAGGTAAAAGAGGTTTCCCCCATAGTGCTTTTTCTCTACTACTAGGTGTCCTCACATTAATGGCCAGTATTATTCGACCCACTTCCTCTGTGCCCAGGTTGCCCTAGATCCAGTCCAGCTTGTTACTGGACAGTGAAAGGAGAAGCAAAGCAGTGATGAACTCATCTTTCACTCGGCTTTCTCTTCCTATAAACATGAACTGTTTGGCTCCTTGCACTGCTTCTTCCCCTCTGCTGTACGGGGACTGCAAGATACCAAGTCAAATTCAGGTACTTACACTGCTTCCATTTAAAAAATACATTTATTGATGTATTAATAATTAAATAGGTGCCTAAAGTTCAGCTTTAAGTAATTCTCTCAGCAGATCAGATCACCCTACTACCCCTTCTTAGCATTAATCATAGTGTAAGGCATAATTTATTTACCATGCTTCTGTAGTTTCTACTAGAACATGTGGTAGACTGGTGCTGCTGAATATGGATATCATTGGGCTACACAGCTAACTCATTTTTTTCCTCTTTATACTGATCACTTCTTTGTTTAATATACTACATTTTGTAAATCAGATAAAAGTCGAGGCCTTTCACCATTCTTGCTTTAATTTGTGCCGAACTCACCTTTGGTAGCTATTATGCACCCCATTTACTAAATATCTTTTACATACCGGTAATTTAGTTCGTTTAAGTTAGTATATTTAATAATTCCAAGATTATTTACGTTTGGGAAATTATTGTTTTTTAAAGTAGAAGCAATAATACATGCTGATGTAATTTATAACACTATATTACAAAAGAGAAATGTATTTTCTTAGTAAAATAATAATCTGAGTTTGAATTTGTCTCAAGGTTTTGTTACACTTTATTATCTTTTTGCCATTGTTATAGTATTAATTATCTTTTGTTACTATTATTATTCAAATGAACCACAGTGAACGTTTGTACAATTTGTGCATGCAAATTAATAACAGAAAATGCAAAGGAATTAAATAATCTGTACAGGTGAAACTCGAATAATTAGAATATCGTGCAAAAATAATTGCAGTAAGTTCTGCAAAAGGGGCCCAAACCAAATACTGAGTACATATGCATGCTTGTACTTTTCAGAGGTCCGATATTGTTCTATGTACAATCCTTGTTTTATTGATTGCATGTAATAATCTACTTTTTTGAGGTTGTGGATTTGGGGTTCTTGGGGTTTTCATGAGCTGTAAGCCATAATCATCACAATTATGACAAATCACGGCTTAAACTATCTTGCTTTACATGTAATGAGTCTATCTCATTTATTAGTTTCACCTTTTAAGTTGCATTAGTGAAATAAATAAACTTTGCACGATATTCTAATTATTCGAGTTTCACCTGTATATCTTTCTTTTCTTGGTGCTGATTTATAATTATTTCTTTTTATCTAGAGCAAAGTAATTATTTGTTGTAATGGATATTTTTCTTACTTATTTTTGTTTTGTTAGGGATCCAGCATAACGGACAATTGCAGTGAGATGTTAATGCATGGCGTCCTTCAAAAGATTTCATCTGGGAACGTCCAAGAGCGGATCTTCTTCCTCTTTGATAACCTTCTAGTATATTGCAAAAGAAAACATCGGTAAGAGTTTGATCATTTTTTTTTTAGAAATATACTGTAAGCACTCTTAGGAACATGCTTTATTTTTTATTTTGACTTTTTCCTTTTCATATAATGCATTTACAGATACAGAAAATCCCTGTGCTATAAGCTATTTATCTCAAATGTGAAGCCACCAACACCTTCTTATGTGTAAACACACTCTGAAAATGAAAGCAACAAAAATAATATAGCGCTACATCCAACCATACCAATAAATAATCAATCATATATTACATCAAACAGTTATTCATTAAACATAACATTTTTACACCACAAAATTAAGTAATATCAGTAATGAAAAAGTCAGTGTAAAACAATGTCCTTTCAAATCCACAGTGCATGAAGCTATACAGGTGAAACCCGAATAATTAGAATATCGTGCAAAAGTAATTGCAGTAAGTGCTGCAAAAGGGGCCTAAACCAAGTACTGAGTACATATGCATGCTTGTACTTTTCAGAGGTCCGATATTGTTCTATGTACAATCCTTGTTTTATTGATTGCATGTAATATTCTAATTTTTTGAGGTTGTGGATTTGGGGTTCTTGGGGTTTTCATGAGCTGTAAGCTATAATCATCACAATTATGACAAATCACGGCTTGAATGATCTTGCTTTGCATGTAATGAGTCTATCTCATATATTAGTTTCACCTTTTAAGTTGCATTAGTGAAATAAATGAACTTTGCACGATATTCTAATTATTAGAGTTTCACCTTTAGTTCTAAAAATGCGCCACCATTCTTCTCTCACTTTTTTGTTGGACCTATTAATCAAACTAAGGTCTGTGCACACTTGCTTCCCTTGTCAGGCAGATAAGTGGCATGCTATTTCTCTTGGAATGTGGTCCATAGTACGGGATAATACTCACACGGGAAAGAAATATAGGGCTACTATAGTGCTCACCATTTAAAAAAAGTATTTTATTAAAACAAATAAAATGGACACTCACAAATAAGATGCGCCAATAAACACAAAAGTAACTCCTTTACTCCTCAGTGGAAGTCAATGGAAGCAACGCCTAGGGCGGAGTTACAGATGATGTCATTACGTTGTGTATAGTAGGAGGAACTGTGTTTTACAACAGCACTATTCTTGAGTCGCCTGGAATAACAGAGTTACTTTTTATATCTGTTAATTGGCACATCATATTTGTGAGTGGCCATTTTATTTGTAGAACTTTAGTTAGACTTCATTTAGAAATCTAAGACCTCACTTAAAGATTGATAACATAGAACGAGGAGTCCAGAGACGAGGAGCAAGATTGTTGACAGGTAAAACATATTAGGAGAGACGGTGGGAACGCATTAGTCTTGAGGAAACAAGGGAAAGGGGGTACATGATTGAAACCTTTAAACATACTAATGGTGTGAATAAGGTTCAGGAGGGCATTCATTTTAAAAAGAAGCTAAGATCAAGAACATGGTGACATGACCCAAACTAGCAGGAGGAAATTTCCAAACTAATCTTAGAAATTATTTTTTTTACTGAAAGTGTAGTTAATGCATGGAACAGACTTTCAGCAGAGTTAGTGAGTCAGTCAACAGTAAGTAAATGAAAACATGCTTGGGACAAACATATACTATACTCATCCTTTTATTTTTCTAAATACTTACCTCTCCTGCTGCCCAACATCATTCCATAAAAAAAAAAAATCTTGCTCTATAGTCTGGTGAGAACTGTGGCACTAAGGAGTGTTGATCCTCTGTGTTCCACTGCACTCAATAGTTCCTTCTGCTGCCCCCTATATCACTATAGGACACAGCAGTGATTGGGTGTTGGCAGGAGGAACCACTAAGCACTGAAGGGAACACTAGAGTTTGACTCTTTTACAAGTGTTTGTTTTTCAGCAGATTTCATCCTGTGTTTTCCTTCCATAAATCCTGTCAATTCAAGGCCCTGGCGTGCAGGGCCAGATTTCCCACAAGGCCAACCAAGGCCCGACCGTGGGGCAGCAGGGATTAGAGGGGCAGCAGGGGTGTGGCATTCCTATCTCCCGATGCCCAGGACATGCATTTTTGGGCACCGGACGGGTAGTTGTTTTCTACATTTAGCCCTGCTTTGGTCAAGCGGAGCTAAATGTACAGCGGGGAAGCCTCCGCTTGTTTTGTGCAAGTAATCTCGTCGATGTCGCCGAGATCACTTGTATGCAGCCTGCAGGTCTGCC